TTTGTTATACTGCAATTTAGTAAAGAAAAACACTCATTTTTATTAGTATTTTTTAACATTATACATATTTTTTAATACTAGGTGTAGTTTATTGTGTTGTTCAATATTAATAATTAATGTGTATAAATACACATCAAACCTTACTACTGAAGACTCCCTCTTTTTATCACTATAAAACAGGCGGAGGGAGCAGCAATAGCTCTCCCCCTATAGGTACTTTATGACCTCTACCTATTTATAGAGAAGGGGCTTTTCGTAAAGTATTAAAGTTAATAGATATATATATATGTATATATAAGCACATATATACATCTATTAAAAATTATAAAAGAAAAGTTTCAAAGTTCGGGGAAAGCCCTATTTATATAAATTTACGTATCACGTGTATCACGTGATTTAAATTAGTAATTACCGCTGCGCCTGCTGTGGTGCTGCGGTATAGCGAAAAAAAAAAAATTAAGCTTTTTTTAGCAAAGCTTAATTTTTTTTTTTCGCCTTTTCCTTTTCGTTCTCCCCTTCCCCTTTTCGTTCTCCCTTCTCCTTCTCTTTCGTTATCCCCTTCCCCTTTTCGTTTTCGTTCTCCCCTTCTCCTCTTTCATTATCCCTTTTTCCCCTTCCCCTTTTCGTTCTCCCATTTCCAAAATGGTAAGTTTCGAAGCTTTTGCTTCGAAACTTTTTTTTTAAAGTTATTTTTTTCTTAATTTTATGAGGGAACGTTCCTTTGGTTTTACTTCGGGCTAAATGGTAAGTTTCGAGGCGTTCGCCTCGAAACTTTTTTTAAATTTTTTTTTTTTTAATTTCTATTAGGAAACGTTACTAATGTTTCCTATAATATTTTTGTAGAACCTTCGGCATATTCGATTTTGGGAAAACGAAATGGTAAGTTTCGAAGCGTTCGCTTCGAAACTTTTAATATTTTTTTTTTTATTTTTTAGGAACCGTTTTTAACGCTTCCTATACTTCTTTTTTTAGGACTTTTAGCGTATTTGACTGTGGAAAAGAAAGGGTAAGTTTCGAGGCGTTCACCTCGAAACATCTTTAAAGAAATTTATTTTTTAATTTCTTTTTAGGAAACATTACTAACGTTTCCTATATTTTTCTTTTGTAGGACCTTTGACGCGCTTGACTTGGAATTTGGAAACGGTAAGTTTCGAAGCATTCGCTTCGAAACTTTTTTAAATTATTTTTTTTTTTCATTTCTATTAGGAAACGTTACTAATGTTTCCATAATTTTTTTTTTTTGTAGTACTTTCGACATATTCGATTTTGGAGGAAACGGAATGGTAAGTTTCGAGCTGTTCATCTCAAAACTTTTTTTAAAAAATTTTTTATTAGGAAACGTTCTAACTGAACGTCTCCTTTATTTTTTGTAGGTTCAAGAATATCCGGTATTGGATACGGGTCCTGTAATGGTAAGTTTCGTACATTTCGTTATGAAACTTCCGTTGTTTTTTTGTTTTTTTTTATAAATTAGGAAATATTTATTAACATTTCCTTTTTCTTTTTCTTTTATTTAGGTATACAATAGAATCCGTTCCAAATTCCAATTTTGAAACCAGGATCCTAGAAATTGTTGGAAACCGGCAAAATAATTGGATCGATCAATCAATGAGTGTGTTCAATAATACATCAATTGCATGAAGGGGAATTGTAAAAACGCAAAGAAGCGATTTGTATAGTATTGTTACATGAGATCGATTGATAATAGTTAAGCAAAGAAGCTTTAGCGCTGTCGGTGATACTGGTAAAGTACGGGAATACTGGCAACGATCGATACATCAGAATCCCAGGCCAGTTTTTGAAACGTATCATTAATTAGAAATGGTGAACTAATGTATCTCTTGTTTTTTTTTGTAGGTTTCAGATCGGGAATATGCTGGAAACGCTTATAATGTGAGTTTCACAACGTCCCATTGTGAAATAATCACTTTTTCATTTTAATTAGAAACGTTAGCTAACGTTTCTATTTTATTTTCTTTTGTAGGTTTCGAATCCGGAATGCGTTGGGAATTCTTGAACTATAAGTTTCGCAACATTCAGTTGCGAAATGAATTATTTTATTATTTTTTTTTAATTAGTTCCACCTTCAATTGGATGGTAAGTTTCGAATTTTGAAACGAAACTTATTTTATTTTATTATTATTATTATTAATGTTTTTTTTCTTTTTTTTTGTAGGGTTTCAAATAGAATTTTTATGATTCCGAAGCAAAATATTAAATATCAGAGATGATGAATTGTGATATTAGACTTCTTTGATTAGTGCGATTTATTCCAACAATCTACAAAAATCAGTGAAAACGATTATCCAGCAAAAGGGCTTTAAATCAGGTACCTGGATATTGGTACTTCCGAAAACTTAATTTTTTTATTTTATTATATATAGATTTACATTAGATATTTACATTAGTTAAATAATTAGATAATTTAATATAAATAATGCTAAATAAATACACTTTTAAATGCATTTTTCAACTAAAATATACATGTAAATAAATGTATTTTTTAATACTATATGTTTATTGTACAATATAAATAAACTAACATATGATACGCGTTGGTTAACATTAATTTGCCATTTTTTTACGCATATTTTGATAGTGTCGGTTATTATAGGGTTAGTTTTTCTACGTTTTTAAGGCATTAAACAACACTAGTGTCAATTGGCATTAATTAACACTAGTATACACCACCCAAAATCTTACTGATGATCCATAGCAAAAAGGTAAAGAAAAAGCAAGGTAACTGTGAGACAAAACTTCCACAATCGTCTCGAGTACAAAACACAGATTGCACTGCAGAAATTCATCTTTGTTTAGAGAGATGAAGACTTGAAACTAACTATCCATTCAAAATTAATATCTGATTCACGCATAATCATGTGATAAATTCAGTCTCTTAGTTTTTGACATATTAATGGTGAAATGTGTGAAAAGATTTTAGAATTATTTAAGGATGGGTATTCTCCAGCTTCAGCGAAATATTTATATGAATATGAGCTCCATCTATTTGCAGAAAATACAGAAAATAATTAAGAACTAGTGGAACTGCTTGCAGATTGAAGCAACAACCTGGATTATGGTTATGTTGTTAGACTTTTTCAAGAGTACTGCAAAAATACACTTGGTAGTCCCAATGGAAAAAAAATGTTCAAATATTTAGGAGAAGTAGTTGAAAATTACAACATATCAGGTAATGGTAAAGCAGTATTACAAGAGTTTGATGCGGAAGTCAGAAAATCTTTCATCCTATGTATTGTAACTGGTCTGATGTACTGCATACATGAAACTGTTCTACAGGCCAGTAAAATTTGTTACATGGATGCATCCACATTGTTTGAGCCTCTAAATACCTTAATAACACTATTGTACACAAGTTGTACCACTGGTACGCTTTTCCTTGAGCTGTTCATTCATTACATTAGATGAGCTTGAAATCACTTTAAAAAAGGCAATAAGTTGGTAGTAATAATTATACTTATTTGCAATTGTAAGTTTCTAATAAACAAAATTTATCAGTTGAATTTGTAAAGACCATTCTTCCTCCATGTGCTTTTTATGGATGTAGAGCGCAAATAGGACCAGTGATCTTTTTCACTGATGATTTAATGCTGAATGAAACACATTAGAGCTCTATTGGCCACAAGGAATTTGCCTTTTGTGTACTTTTTATATTCTGCAAGCCTTCTGGTAGTGGATACACAATTCCAAGCATCAGATTAACAAGGAGAATCGGATGTCAATTATGGGAAAAATGAAAAAATTCTATATGTGCGATCAGATTTGGAAATAAATCTGAATTATGGCAAATTCAAACAGGTCTTCTATAATCAATATCCATTACTGCAAAATCATTTTGAATTGTTGTAGGAGCGGCATCACTTTTGGGCTTTATCCTTATGTTCAATACTATCCATATGTGGTAACAATATGAATAATTACGTTGTTTATTAAATTTTATAATTTGACTAATTTTAAAAAGTTGTTGATAGTAAAAGTATTTCAATAATCATCCAATTTTAATAAAATTTAATGTACAATCATTTCAAAAGGTTATAAAATAGTATGTAAAATTTGAGGATATGTTATTTATAGAATCGTTGAATAAATTTACTGTTACACAAAAATGCAGATCATTTAGTTAATATGTAAAATACTGATTAATATTTTGAAATATTTTATATAATAATATATACTAAAATTTTATATACTGTTTTATAACCTTTAAAAGTAATCATATATTAAATTTTATTAAAATTGGATGATTATTGAAATACTTTTACTATTAACAACTTTTTAAAATTAGTCTAATCATAAAATTTAATAAATATCATAAATATATAAAATATTATTTTACTATAATATGTAATTTGCAATTAAAATTGTATTTACACAAAAAAATTGGTAATTATTTATGTAAACTTTATAAGTTTAATATTGGTTAATTTTTGCAAAAATCATAAATTTTGAATTGACTGTTGCTAACTTTCTCTCTGGATGAAGATCACCTAGAGTGATTTCACCTAGGTGATTTTACTTACAATTAATTTATTAAATTTATTAAATTTGATTGGTGTAAATTTTAATATTTCTCACTTCGTAATTTGCATATAAATCCTCTGCAAATTTTTTGAAATTTTTTGATTGGCTAAATTTTTAAATATATAATAAACAATGCTTAAAATATTTTCGCACTAAAAGTTTATAGCAATTTATTAATTTTTAATAGATTACATAAATCATTGATTGAAAAAACAAACTCATACTATTCAAAATACTAGATTTTTGATAGAAATAACAAAAAAAATGAGTCACAATGATAAAGAAAAGAGAATATGTGAATAAAAAAAGGAAAAAAAATGAAGGTGAATGGAAATGAAAGAAACGAAGGGGATTGAAGGAGGAACGAAATGGAGCAAAGGGGAGTGAAAAAAATGAAAGGGCGAAAAAAATCAAGTGGGAATGAAAAAAAATGAAAAAAATGAAGGAAAGATGAAATGGAGCAAAGGGGGAATAAAAAGAATAAAGGTAGTGTAATTTGTAAAGGAATAAAAAAGATGAAGCGGGAATGGAATAAAACAAAAGGAATGAAGGGTAGTATAAAGAAATGAAAGAGACGAAGTGGAACAAAAAAAAATGAAAGGAACGCAGAGAAAATAAAAAACAACAAAAAAAACAAAGGAAGGGAAGAATAAAAAAGCAAAAAAATGAAAAGACAAAAAAGAACAAAAAATGGAGAAGGAACGAAAATGAGATACAAAGTAAAAACCAAACCCATAAAATAAAAGAAGAAATAAAGTTAGTAGGAAACAGAAATTACATGTAATAAATAAACGGAAATAAAAAAATAAAAACATACCTTAGTAGTTGCAGAGAAGAACTGAAAGATCTAAAAAGAGTGAAATACAAAATGTAAGAAACGAAATATAAGAATGAAATAAAAAATAAGAAACGGCTTAGTGCTGGACATATATACCTTAATTGCAAAGCTGAAAGAGCTAAAGGACCTAAAAAAATGAAATAAAGTTAGTAGAAAACAAAATGCAAGAAGCAAATAAAAAAAAAAGAAAGAAAACGTACCTTGAGTGCCATGCAAAAGAGCGAAAGACTTAAAGAAAAAAAAGATTATTCGAATACGTTTAAAAAAAAAACAAACATAAGAAATGATCAGCACATTAATCTATATCTATATCTATATCTATATCTATATCTATATATATAATATAATAAAAAAATACATGTTGATCTTCTAACGTTTAGATTAAGTCTGTATAAATAATCTTGAATTGTGTAGCATGATTCAGTGCCTGATTTAAACTTAAAAGTTAAGGCCATTTATTTGATCGGCAAACGTATAGATTTTTTTAACTTAGCTAATTTTTGATCGGTTAAACTTAAAATTTTATTGCAAAGATATTTTTTAAAAATTTTTTTGCAAACATATTTGTTCAAAATAATCTTATTAAATGAAATTTTTAAAATTTAAGTCCCACATTTTCGATTTTAAAGAAAAAAATCACTGTATTTATTTTTAATAAAGTGATACAAATAAAAAAAACAATAACAATAAATAAAAAAGATAAGTAAATGACAATGATTAAGGAGAAAGATGCTAATAAAAAAAATGAAATAACAATGGAGTAATAGAAAGTAATAGAAGAAGAAAGGGAGTAAAAAAGAGTAATGAGAAGTGATAGGAAACAAAAAGGAAAAAATAGGACATGATGGATGATGAAAAAGAGTGATGGGAGACGAAGAGGAGTAATGGGAAGATGAAGAGGAGTGATGGGTGACGAAAAGGAGTGATGGGAAGATGAAGAGGAGTGATGGGAGACTAAAAGGAGTGATTGTAGACGAAGAGAAGTGAAAAGGAGTGATGGGTGACGAAGAGGAGTGATGGGAGACAAAAGGAGTGATGGAGACGAAAAGAAGTGATAGGAAGATGGAGTGATGGGAGACAAAAAAAGTGATGGGAGACAAAGAGGAGTGATGGGAGATAAAAAGGAGTGATGGGATGAAGAGACGAAAAGGAGTAATGGAGACGAAAAGAAGTGACGGGAGATGGAAAGGAATAATGGGAGACGAAAAGAAGTGGGAAGACAAAAAGAAGTGATGGGAGATGAAAAGGAGTGATAGGAGACGAAGAGGAGTAATGTGGAAGATAAAAAGGAGTGATGGAGACAAAAAGAAATGATGGGAATGAAAAGAAGTGATGAGAGACAAAAGAAATGATGGGAAGTAAATAGGAGAGAAAATGAAATAATAGAAAATGAAAAGATGTAATAGAAAATAATGGAAGACAAATAATGAGAGGTGAAAAATGATGAGAGACAAAAAAATAAAAAATGATCATGAGGAAACCAAGTAAAAAACAAACCATAAAGTAAAAAAAGAAGTTAGTAAGTAGTGAAATATAAGATAAAAACAAAATAAATAAAATAAATAAATAAAATAAAAAAACATACCCTTATTAATTAACCGAAAGAACTACAATAATTAAAAAAAAAATGAAATAAATTAGTGAAAACCGAAATATGAAACAGAAACAAAATAAAAAAAAATAAAAAAAATAAGTAAGAAATGAAACCATGAAATAGAGTTAAATATGTAAATTATATAAATTTATTAGATTATTTTCTTCTAACCTTATCATACTGTAAATATTATTATTAAAATACTAAGCCTATTCTAAAATATATCATATCATTGTTACTTTTCTTGACTTAATGGGCAACTTTTATCCCCGGCGTAGCGTGACGGGTTTGTTCTAATTAGCCAATAAAATTTAAATGAGGTGTGATATCACCGGGTAAATTATATAAAAATATATAAAATTATCAGGTTAAATCACCCTAGGTAAAAAATTGCTAAATCACCCCGGGTGAAAATTAGTTATAATCTTAAAAATAATACTTATCTTTACTAATGAGTTGTATATGGAGGTTGAAATTATAAAAGTTAGCTTAATTTAAATTTTTTATATAAGTATTGATTAATAAAAAAGGTATTTAAATAAGTAAAATAGACCCAAAGAACAAAAATATATAAAGTTTTTATAATATACAACTTAAAAAAAATTATGTTATATAAATTATAAAAAATCATTATTTATTAATAATTACAAGAGAAATGAAATTTCCACTGGTTGCTAAATTAACTAAATTAGATTAATTTACGTAAAACATCTATAATTTCCACTAAGACCTTTGATCATGATGCTTTACGGGACTTGTCTTTTTTATGCTTTTTTGGCTTTTCAGACTTAGCCTCTTCTGGTTTCTTCTTTGAATTCTTTGAATTCTGTCAATTTTTATGTAACCTTAATTTAAGCTAATTAATACAAAAGTTTCAATTTGAAAAAAAAGTATATTAATTCAATCTCTATTAGTCTATGATTCTCTATTAGTCTATGAATATATTACTAAATATATTAACAATTATCCTTTATTAGGCTTAAGTTTATACCCCTTATTCTTTCTATTGGTTGATCATATGTAATGAAACACAAAATTACTCTACAGTGCATACAACTTAGTCCCAACAAATAAATTTTTAAGCGGCCAAATTTTAGATTTTGATGTGTTATCACGTGACACTTATAACTTGCAATTTTATTAGTCCGTATATATACACGTGATTTAATGAATACGAACTACGGTATAAATAATTACATCATATACGAACAATGAAAAAGTCTCGCAATTATGTTATGTTTCTTTTTTTCCCACATGAATTTTTTGCTTTATTATTAAGAACTTGGATTGTTATTAAAAATAAACACAATTTACCAACATGCCACGTCTAACAAAACATCAGAAACGATCAAGAAAGGCTTATGAAGCAAAGTCTACACGCAAGAATAATTCTGATAATGACTCTGATAATATGTCTATCAATGATGACTCTGATAATGTTGATGATACTGATAATTTTTCCGTTAATGATGAACCAGTGGAAAATGATAATGCAGTAAGTATTGTAAGAAAACTTAAAGAAGCAGCAAAAAAATATCATCAAGAACGTGCTTCTCATGAAATACGTAGACTTCGTTATATAGGAAACTCTGTTCGCACTAGAAGAAGGAAAAATCAGCAACTGCTTGAGGCAGCAAAGGGAACCCTTGCATTGTGCACATTTTGGGATACCAAGAAATCTACTGACGAAGTTGACAAGACAATAGCTGATGTGGATGATGATGTGAGTGATGATACGAATGATAATAATGATAAACAGTCAGATAATGAGATTGAGGATTGCAACTGGAATAATAAAATCCAGGCAGCTCTTGAAAATCTGGAAATAGATATTAAAAAAGAAAATAAAAAAAATGAGGTTTGGGTGCGTTTAAATGGTATCCGTCTTTATCTTCAACTTGTGAAATGCAACTATTCAAAAATGAATGCAAGTGAGATTGTTTCTAACACTGCAGGAAAAGGAGTATACCATGCCAGATGCATTCGTTCTTGGGCACATGAATATGTAATGAGCCGTCAAATTCCTTACTCCCGCCGGGAACATCATGCTAAAATATGGAGCTTTCTCTGGGATGAAGATATTCTTCTTCAAGTAAAATCATATATTCGGGAACATAAGTGGGATATTTCTCCACAGATGTTAATGATACAGATGAATGAAATTATTTTACCAGGACTTGGATTTGCACCATCTCCAACTATTCATATCAATACTGCAAGAAACTATTTGAAAGAACTTGGATATACATATGCAAAGGTAAAGAAGGGAATATATATTGATGGTCATGAAAGGGAAGGTGTGGTGGTATACAGAAAAATATTTTTAGAACAAATGAGTAAATTTGAACATAGGATGCCTATTTTCTCAGGAGATAATTTGGACGAAATTACCTGGCCGGACAGTAATATACAGCCACTTATTCTTGTAACACATGATGAGTGTATTTTTTCAGCTTATGATGGAAGTCGGAGTCTTTGGATTCCTGATGGAGAGCAACCCTTACGAAAAAAAGGTAATGGTCGTTCAATTCATGTTAGTGAATTTTTAACTGATGTTTGTGGTCGTCTTGCGCTTCCTGATGAAATGCAAGTATCGGATGACTTTCCTAGGGAAGCTTGTGTAATTATGCATCCGGGAAAAAATAATGATGGATGGTGGAAGGCTGATGATTTAATAAGTCAAGTAATTGAACGTGCCATTCCCATATTTGAAGCTCGTTTTCCAGGATGCCAGGCCTTATTTGCATTTGATAATGCATCAAGTCATGCTACTTTTTCGCCAGATGCACTTATTGCTAAAAATATGAACCTCAATCCTGGTGGAAAACAGCCAAAGATGCGCAGAACATATTTTGGTGATGAAAATATCCAACAAGACATGATCTTTCCATCGGACTATTGTATTTCTAACCTGCGCGGACAGCCAAAAGGATTAAAGCAAGTTCTTATGGAGAGGGGATTATGGCCAAATGAGGGGCTGAAATTAGAAGAAGCACGAAAAATAATGAGTCAGCAACCAGATTTCTTTAGCGCAAAAGGGACGGGTAGAAGAGGTTATTGTTGCAGCTGGACATAAAGTTATATTTTACCCTAAATTTCATTGTGAGCTCAACTACATTGAAAATTTTTGGGGTGCAGCTAAGAAATTTAGTCGCTCAAATTGTGATTATTTATGGACAGGTTTGCAAAGAACTGTTTCATTAGCACTTGCTTCTGTTCCTCTTACAACTATTCGCCGGTATGCAAGAAAAGCATTTCGTTATATGGATGTTTATCGAAAGGGTTTAACAGGAAAGGCAGCAGAATTTGCTGTTAAAAAATACCGTTCACACCGCCGGGTTCCTGATTCAGTTTTACAATCAGTTGGCATTTAGTAAATAAATTAGAATAACCACACTTTAAAATAAACTCAAATACTTGTGTTGTTTAGACGTTAAAAGCTTGTTTTTCGTTTTTTTTTCAGTTTTTACTTTTCGTGATAGATGTTTTATTTTCAATTTAGTCATGTAACCTGATATTCAAATGAAAAACAACCAATCAACGATAAGAATTTTGATCACGTGAATTACGTGTAATGCGGCCAAAATTCTCATCTTAATAATAAAATTACCCGACTTTGGATCGCTACTACTTCGTTAAAAATTGTCTTACAGGAAATTTAAAAACGTGGGCTAATTAAGCTTGACTTGCTCTATCATTCTGCGGTTTTATTTTTCTTTTATTGTTCTTTTTAAGTGAAGAGTAGCAATTTGAAATTTATCTAATTTAGTAGTCGGGACTAAGTTGTATGCACTGTATTAATAGCCGAAATCCAATGTTTGTGGGATACAAATCCATTTTTAAACAAAGGTTTTTGTACAACATATAATATTAACAATTTTCTTTAATATTATTATCGTCATTATCGTTTCAATTTTCAAAATTAAGTAATTGGTTATAATTATAAAAAGTAAACCTCCCAGTTTTTTTCATAGGTAAAAAATTGCTTAACATACATTTTTATGTAACAATACTAATAAATGAAACTTTATTATTGTTTTTTTTTCTTTTTCTTCTTTTGTACAAAAAAATTGAGACAAACTTTATCATAAACTGAAACTAGATCACAATTAGAAAGAAGGTACCTTTTATATTTAATAATTTTCTTGTCTTACTTTCATTTTGTTAATTTTCCTTGTTTTATTTTTTTATTTTTATTAATTCCATTTTTTTTTAAACAATCGTAATAATAATAATTCGTGTTACGTTAATATTATAAAAAGATCGAATTTTTTAGTCCGTCAGAATTAAAAAAAACCCATTTACAAAAAACATTTATAAAAAACATTTACATTCTGAATAAAAAATCCTTATTGTACTATAATACTGATATAACAAATAGAACAATGAAATCTTTTAGTTTTTTCGTATTATTAAACGTATTAATCCTCTTCGCTTATGCTCAGGATCAAACACTTCCAGCAGCAGCTACTTGTGAACTAACTTTCGCTTTACAACAAGGCTCGACATGTACACCATGTCAGCAAGCACTTTTTAAACATAATCCATTGGATTCATCATTCCTCGAGACTAAAAAACAACCTTCTGACAAATGCTTGTTTACTAGTTTTCTCTTTTATCATATATCTGTAAATGATCCTTCTTCTAATGGTACTATTAACCTAGACTCACCAGACATACCAAAATTAACATTAGCTTTTGATCAAGCTTGCGCTGATACCGCAAATAATGCATGTAGTGAATCAGATTCTAAAAATGCTTATACCGAAGTCGCTAATGCTTGTGATGTAGAAGTGAATGAATATATTTCTGTTAATGGAACTGGAACTGGTGAAACTAATATTAGTAGTGTCGGAGGTAGAGCTATATCAACTATGATTAATTATTATATTGCTATACCTACAAGAGATAATTTTTGTTTGAAAATAAATAACCGTAAGTTATTAAGTATTTAAGTATATAATATCATTTACATATATATAAAATACTGTTTTTTTTAACAAATTATTTCTTTTTTTTTTTTTTAGAATATTGTTCGGTTAAAAGTTTTGAACAATCGAGTCAAAATACATCGACTTCAAATACGAATACTATAAATGGTTTATCATGTGAAGATGAATGTAACAAACAATCTTATAAGAATCTCTTAAGTTATCAATCATCTCATCCCCCTGATGCTCGTAATTTACAAAAGGTTTTTATTGGTAAAAACAACCAATTAGCAAGTTATGAAGCACGTTGTCCTAATATGACTAGTAATATTGCTAATAACTTTAAATCTGACGGTCAGAAACTTACTCATCAATTTTATAATTTTTCTGGAATTATTTTAATTAGTCTTGTAGGATTTATTTATACAACTTTTATGTAATAATATATTATATATATAATAGTTGGAAACTTATTACATTTCCTATTCAATTTTGTATTTTTACTAAAACTATCAATAAATAAAATAAACAAAAAAATTTTATTATTTATTTAACACCCAAGTAGGATTTTAAGGCGATTTTTTACTTTAAAAGGCAAAAATTTTGGTTGATCATTTCATTTCAGTCAGATTTTCACCAAAATTTTCTATTCCGTTTTTGAAAATCATCCACATGCATAGTTGCCATGGATACAAAAAAAATTGCCTTTTTCGTAAAAAACTCTCAGTTTAATCTTAAATATTAGTACAGTACTGTACATGTACATGTACAAGTACAAGAGCAAGAACATGAACATGTACATGTACATGTACAGAGAAAGTGAACATTCACTATGGAAACTTTTTGCGCTGAGTTTAACTGTGCTGCTCAAAAAGAATGTTAACTTGACAGATCATGAAATAGTATGTTGATCATTTTT